TTTTACCGACACGAACCAAGATGGTGCGCGGGAAGTTTTGAATACGAGTTGCATCGAATGCTTCGGGACGTTGCTACCATCGCACTGCTTTACCGACTACGCGTGAGCGGAATGCGACGTTGTTCGTGAGGTCAATATATTTTTTATTTTTTACGAAATGTAAAGAAAATAAAGATTAGTTTCACGACTGGATTTACGATTTATGGATTTTAACGATTGAAGATAATTGTTACAAAAATAATGATTTAAAGAAGATTTTACGATTATTGGAGACTTGTGAAGATTTATTATATTTATTATTTTTTATATATTATATTATTGAAGAATAACATTTCAAGATGCCGCCGAAAAAAGATATTAAAGATGGAGAAGAACGAGAATCACGTGACACCACATCCTATATCTCGTTTGCAGATGTGGAGAAGTCGATGACGTCATTTAGTGGTGATGATTCTTACCCGATTTCAACATGGTTTGAATAACTTGAAGACACGGCACTGTTGATGAGCTGGACTGAAGTAGAAAAACTGATTTACGCGAAAAGACTCCTAAGTGGAAATGCAAAACTATTTCTACGATCGCTCGGAGGTGTAAAAGATTATAAAAAATTAAAACAAGAACTCGAAGATGAATTTAGATCTAAATTGAATAGTGCTGCCACACATAAAAAACTAAGTATGTACAAGTATTTTCTCCATATGAAAGAATGTACACTACATGGAAACATCGAAGATGCAGCACTTTCGGAGTACGTTATTGATGGTATCCAAGACAGCGAATCTAATAAATCTATTTTGTACGGAGCGTCAAACCTTAAAGAATTTAGAAAAAAATTAGATATTTACAAAAGTATTAAAGAAAAGACCCAAACTCGACTCGGTGTATCTACTCCATTTACAAAGAATAATATAAGAAAGCGATGTTTTAATTGTGGAGACCTAGATCATCAAACCCCGACCTGTACGAAGGGTATCAAGTGCTTCCGATGCAATGAATTTGGGCATAAGGGAACTCAGTGTAGCAACAAAGGTAAAAATAGTTTAAATATTCAAAAGACTGAAACAAAAACTAAGACTGATAAAATACACAAAAAATTAGAAACTCCATATAAGAAGATAAAGATTAATGATGTCGAAATTACAGCATTAATTGACACTGGGAGTGACGTGAATTTGATAAAGTTTGAAGTTGAAAAAGTTATGACAGAAAAAGTTATCTATGATAAAGAAAAATCAATACACCTAACTGGAATTGCTGGAAAAGAACTAAATACTGAAGGACTTCTGAAAGTTAAGGTTTTGATTGATGATTATTATGCTGATTTGGAATTTCACGTTGTACAAGATTATGCTATACCAATCAGTGTCATACTTGGAAATCCTATCCATAAAGGTTTTGAAATAAACTTTACTCGTGATGGTATTTTCCTTGAAAAGATTTCTTACCTTACACTACTAGCAGAAGAGAAGAACACTATTTGTGATGAAAATTACCCTAGAACTAAAGAAATTGCAGATAAAATTACAAAACTAATTAAGGAATATAAAACTGATGCTAAAAAGAAGGAAAGTAACGTTGAGATGAAAATAATACTTACCGAAGAAGACACGATTCATCAAAGTCAACGTCGATTGTCACCACTGGAAATGAAAGTTGTTGATGAACAAATAAAAGAATGGCTAGACCAAAAGATTATACGACCCAGCAAATCGTTTTGCAAGCCCTGTAGTTCTAGCTAAAAAGAAAGATGGAACATATAGACTTTGTATAGATTATAGAAAATTGAATAAAAGTACAGTGGAAGACCGATTCCCGTTACCTCTTATAGAAGATCAGATTGACAGATTGAAGGGTGCAAAAGTTTTCACGACCTTAGATTTGAAGAACGGATTTATGCATGTGAATGTGCATGAAGAAAGCAGGAAGTTTACGGCCTTTGTAACTCCGCAATAGCAGTATGAATTCATGAAAATGCCGTTCGGTATTTGTACGGCGCCGTCAGTATTCCAAAGATATGTCAACCATGTCTTTCAAGATCTTATTTCTGACGGTACTGTCCTTGCCTACTTGGATGATTTGATTTTACCCTCGGAGTCAAGAGCTGAAGAGTACGGTCTTTTATTTAACTGGAAGAAATGCCATTTCATGAAGAGGGAGATAGAATATTTAGGCTATATAATACGGAGTAATGAATTACGCCTGTCAAAAGAAAAGATTTCAGCCGTATCAAGATTTAAAACCCCTCATAATATCAAGTCTTTACAGTCTTTTTTAGGACTGTCTGGTTATTTTAGAAAGTTCATCAAACATTATTCTATAATTGCAAAACCACTTACCAATTTATTGAAGAAAGACGTTGAATTCAATTTTAGTGAAGAGTGCGAAATGGCTTTCAATGAATTGAAAAGAATATTGTGTAGTTCACCTGTGTTACGAATTTACGATCCAGAGCTAGCAACAGAACTACACACAGATGCTAGCGCAGAAGGCTATGGCGCCGTTCTGTTACAGAAAAGTCCTACAGATAATCAAATGCATCCAGTCTACTACATGAGCAAAAAAACGACACCTGCTGAAAGAAAATATCACAGCTATTACTTGGAAATACTAGCGATTGTTGAAGCTGTCAAGAAATTCCGTGTCTATCTGCTAGGAATTCGTTTTAAAATCATAAGAGATTGCTCTGCTCTTACTAAAACATTACGGAAGAAAGACTTACCTCCACGTGTTGCTCGATGGGCTCTGCTCCTAGAAGAGTATAATTATGAGATAGAACACAGGTCAGGATCAAGACTTATGTTAACATGCTGACGCATTAAACCGAAATCCTGTCTGCTTGATACTTACCGAAGCTGCTGCCCGCTTGAAGAGAGCTCAAGACGACGACCTTCATATCAGTCTGTTAAAGAAAATGTTAGAAAAAGAACCCTATCAAGACTATATTATGGAAAGAGGAATATTATGCAAAGAGAAAATGCAGAACGAAGTAATAAGGAAGAAGCATGATTATGGACATTTTGGAGTTAGAAAAATAGAAGAGCTTGTGAGTCGAGAGTATTATATTGAGAATCTAAAGGAGAAGATTAGAAAAGTTATAGATAATTGTCTAGAATGTATTCTGATTGAACAGAAAAAAAGGAAAGAAAGAAGGATTCTTACATCCATTAGACAAAGGTGATGTCCCGTTGTCGACGTATCATATTGATCATCTTGGTCCATTGACGTCTACTAATAAAAATTATAATTACATTTTTACGGTAGTTGATGGCTTTACCAAATTTACTTGGATCTGTCCTACGAAATCTTTGTCTACAGATGAAGCGTTGGACAAACTGAGAATGCAACAACAAACCTTTGGTTCCCATCAAAGGATTATTTCCGATCGTAATGCCGTATTTACTTCAAAAGACTTTCAAGTCTATTGTGAACAAGAAGGCATAACTCATTATACAATTACTACAGGACAACCCCGCGGAAACGGGCAAGTAGAAAGAATCCACCAAATCATAATAAGTGTTATAAGTAAATTGAGCGCTGATGATCCCACGAAGTGGTATAAACAAGTTTCCAAAGTGCAACGCTGTCTGAATAGTACATGGCAAAGAAGTATGAAATGAAGAAATTATGAAATTAATAGAAGAAAAAGAAGTTAAGAACTATAATGAGCAAAGGAATGAACTAAGATTAAAGGCAAAAGAGTCAATACAAAAGATCCAAGAAGAGAACGTTAAAAATTATAATAAAAAAAGAAAAAAGGCTACCGAATACAAAGTTGGCGACTTGGTCGCTATTAAACGAACACAATTTACTCAAGGAAGTAAATTGTATCCTAAGTATCTAGGACCTGTAAGGTACGCTGTAAGAAAAGTTGGTGAATGCGAAGGGCCCATCAACACAACAACCTCAGCTGATCTCATGAAGCCATGGGTCTATGAAGAAGTAGATGAATATTCATCTGAGTCAGATGAATGATCAGGACGGCCGTGTGGGAGAAAGTTTATTTTTAATCTGTTTTTATGTTAGTTTTTAGTCATAGCATGGTAACACTTTTGGGTAGTCTGTGGTTACGACGATAAACATTGTAAAGAGGCTAAGCAGTTTTATTAAAGATTTTGTGTTTAATTCGACCATTCTTTTCTTCGACGATCCCACACACACACACACATAATATATATATATTTATATATATACATACATTTGAAATGTATGAAATCTGGGAATTGTATACAAATCCTAGGAAATTTATATAATTCCTATATCGTATTAGGAAATGTATAAAAATAATGATTTCTGTAATAAAACACGTTGTTAAAATGAGAATAATAATTTTTATTAAAGCACTCGTTGAGACAACAGCGTTCAGGTAACAGTCATTTCGTAAAATATAATAATCTTCATATTATCTTACTAATTAAAGCTTCGAAAATCAAGTATCTAGGAACTTATAAAATGTATTTATCACAAAATCGACTTATATTATTCTCATAAAGTCAAACTTTCGTTGGGTAAGTAATTAGTCTGTTATTTAAGTAATTATAAATGTCACAATATTAAAGTAAGACTTTATATTATATAAAGAGTCAGTCCATATGGCTATTTATTTTTGCAGGGTAAGCCGGAATGGCACTTGGAAGTACACAATAATTTATTTTTATAGCACAGACATCTTGCTGCAGTACAGTTTTTCTTGCAATGGCACTTTTTAAATCCCTGGCCGGTTCCAGTGGATTGTAGGTTAGCAACTGACCGTAGTGCTATCTCCGTACTAGGTACATCCTCTGCATCAAGAAGAGCTCTTGGACACACATTAATCTGAGATCGAGAATATAATTGTTTTAAGATTCCGTTCTTGGTACCAATTTGATAAAGCTCATCATCGGTTGTAGCCAAAACTACACCTATAATATTTCGGGCATCACCACGTCCTCTGTCAACCTCTGGAACTGCAATTCGTACAGAAGTGCCAATAGGTACAGGAGCAAACTTCTTTTCACTCGATTTCAGCATTTTTTCAGCCTGATGTTGTAGGTTTTTCTTAGCACTTTGACGATTATCTTGTACTTTATATTTTTTTGAACATAATAGACACAAAATTTTAGTCCAAATCCTTCATCAGATGATTCTTCAGCAACAGCGCAAATAGCGTGGATTGCACATCCACATTCTCTACATGTATGAGCCTCTGTAGTTTCTTGTGAACAGACGCTGCATTGGAGGGTGCAAGCTGGAGGTTGCGTATTTGTTTCGCGTTGATCTGAATCGTTGTTAGAAACTTGACTTGCCTCCGTGTTCACCTTAGAGAATTCACATGCAGTGACTTCGGGATCTTCTTCTTTTTTGGTAAGGTCCTGTATAATTTTCTCCAAATCTTCTTCAGTTTCTACATTTTGCGTGAAATCATTGGGTAACTGTAAACCAACTTTTACTTTACACCCAAAAAGTGCCTCATAAGGATTGATTAATACCAGCGTGAAAAGCTCTGTTTTTCATGAGTTGCACAAATCTCAAACCCTCAATCCAATGTGAATTATTATTGTCTTGCATCAACGTGGTCAACATATTTTCAATATCCTGATTTGCTCTTTCCACACTCCCCTGACTTTGCGAATGCCAGGGTTTACCATGAATAATTTTTAAAGTAGGCCAATATGTTTTTAAATTCTCAATAATTCGGTCGGAAAATTCTCTGCCGTTATCAGACTGAAGTATTGCAGGAGCACCAAGTAGAGTAAATATGTCCAATAAAGTGTGAGCCACTTCCTCAGCTCGTTTTGTTTTAAGTGGTTTTAAAACAACAAATTTTGTTAAATGATCTTGATACACCATTATAAATTTGTTATCACCGTCGGGCTGGGACCGAAAATCTATCAGATCCACTTGGCATCTAGAGTTAAACTCTGACGATATAATAGGCTTTACAACAATGCCTTTTTTGATGTTTTTTTGCTTTTGTTGACAGGGTTCACAAAGTTCAAGATAAGTTTCTATATCCTTACGTGTTATGTTTTTGTAGTGACTCCCTACCTCTTTCATCATACGATCTCTTCCGCCGTGACCAATTTGAATATGTGCCTCGTGTAATATGCCGAATAACTCGCTATCACATGCGTAGTAAATAATAGTGATTGTAGTGTCTTTAACAGGAAAAATAAGCTTACTTTTCTGGTCAATGGTAAGCACATCGTATCGCCTCAATAACCAATAATCACGAGAAGTCTTTCTGGCTGTTATTTTTGCCGTGGAAACGTCTTCAATTAACTCTTTATAACGTTCATCTTCAATATAAGCAGTGTTCTTAGCGTTTGTTAACGTTCTTAATGACGCTAAAGTACTATAAAATCGCTCTTTCATAAGCGCGATGCGTGATTTGGTAGGCATTTTGAACAACAGCGACGTGCGTACACACTGACAGTTAACGCGGCACTAGCGAGATCGCCTGATCAGACAAAACAATACCCTCCCCTCGCCCCGCTATCCCCGCATACCCATTGATATCTCAAATATTTACATTTCCGACTGCTATTTAGACAATGTATAGATTTCCTAGGGAATGTGTCTAATACAATTAATTTTACACATTTCCGTGCGATTTTAGGAATTACATACATTTCCGGTAACATATATATATATATATATATATATATATATATATATATATATACAAGAATTGCTCGTTTGAAGGTATAAGATTTCCTACTCAATCACTAAAAAACTCCTACAACGAGTAATAACACTTTTCGTTAAATAGTTAAATATGAGTCCTGTATAGCAACCCTTTCGAAAGCCATACCGTTCGACATTTTTATGCTGGAGACGTTTGTTCTGTCAAAAGAACTTTACTTTGTTTTGGATGGCCTCTTCAATCTTTGTAATTACATGTTGAAGTGCCGATTCTGTCGATTTACATAAGGTATAGGCGTGTTGTTTTTCGTGTAGCGGTATGTTAATTATCACCAACCCTCTCAACTCCCGTTCATACATCCTCTCCATCGTCTTTAGGAGAAAGGATGTGAGGCTAAAGGGTCTGTAGAGTTTCGGGTCTATATAGTTGTTTTTACCTGGTTTGGGTATGAACGTGACTTTCACTTCCCTCCATCCCCTAGGAACATATTTAAGAGCCAGAAATGCTCCCATTATAGAAACAAGTCTGACTATTTGGACTTTACCCCCCTCCACTGTAGAAGTGCCGGGAATAAGCATTCAAGTCCTGCTGCCTTATAGGGTGGAAAACTATGAATGGCCCAATGGATTTTGTTCATCGTCACCACTTTTTGTGCTAAGTACCAGTCTTCTTTTGTTGGTGTTAGTGCATCTTCATGCTGGTTCACCCTTTAGGATGCGTTGGGTTTCATCCGGCGATGTTAAGTAGCTTCCGTCAGGTTTTTTAAAGAGATAGATCCCGGCGTGTTCTGTTTAGCTATGATTTTTCTTATCCGATTTGCTTGTTCACAGGTTTTTACGCTACCACAGAATTTGCGCCATTCTGTTGAGCGTCGATACCTGACACATTTTATGTATTCGGACTTAGCTTTCTTTTATAGTAGCCAGTCTTTATCCATTGAGGTATTTATTGCCCTATTATTGTTATTATTGCTTTTCTTACCTTCTTACGTTTCCTGTCTAGTTCTTTACCCCACCACTGATGACTACTGGTCATGATTCGTGGTAGCTATCGATCATGGCTTTTGTAACAGCTGATACCTGTTCTTCTAGGATCAATTGATCTGCTATGGTATTAGTTCTCCCAACACCCGCGAGCGAAGATGTCAGTCTATTGAGGTATTTTGTTTTATCCGTCTTGCGGGGATTTCTCCATGGTGGTATAGCGGGTATATCGACCTGTAGTACGCAGCAGATCCATATGTGGTCTGAGCATGAGGTCTCTTTCAACACATGCCATCCCGTTTTTAGTTTAGCTGCTCCTTCTGTTACAAGTGTGGGGACGATTATTGTGCGACAGCGTTTATTTATGAAGGTTGGTTCAGAACCAGTGTTTAAAATGGTTAAGTTAGTGCTGAATAAATATTAAACTAAAACCTTACTTCGTTCATTAGGTTTTTCCCTTCCCCAAAGGGGATGATGCGCATTGGAATCCGTCCCGATCACAACCTCCAGTCGGGCCTTCTCGCAGAAATTCAACGGCCTGACGAGATCGTGAAGGGGAGGGGTGTCTTCCTCAGGCATGTGACCGAGGTGACTACTAAACTTCCCTCCTGTGTATTTTGTAAGGCTACGGCATACATGTCTCTGGATCAGAAATCTGTTAATGGTTTTGCACAGTTATCTTTAGTAGTATAAATACACACTCTAGGCTTGTCGTGCTCAGAGTTGTAGAATAACTTACCTTTTAGGTTGTTTAGGCTTTTAATTTTTACCAGCCTCAACCCATGGCTCTTGGATTATGGCTACATCCGTCCTTTGTGCCTCCAACCACTTGCGTAATTGAGCTGACGCAGTTTCACTGTGGTGGAAATTGGCTTGCACTGGGCTAGTTCTGGAAGAAGGGCAGGCCATCATTGACCGCGTCCTCCCCGTCATCGCCCAAAAATGAGCCTGGCAGTAGATCCCGGGTCTCATTGTCAGCCATCGAATCGGAATTGGACAGCAAAATGCTCTTCGTCGCTCAGTAAGCTGCCGCTGAGCTCAGTTTCCACTGGGGCTTCGGCTCGGTTGTGCAGGCCATTTTTTCACTGGACTTGGCATCCACTGATTTCGATGTACCGGCAACCATGGCCACGGTATCCATGACTTCCGGGTTTTTTCTGCCTCCTTGCTTGGTGGAAAATCAAAAAAATTTCCTCCGCGACCCTGAAATTTAACGTATACCTCCCCACATACACATGTGAGACGGCGCCCGGCTTTCATCAAGGTCGGGATATGATCCCCCGGCACGGAAACAATGAGGAACCACCCGGCCGTGTTTGTCCGTTTTGAGTAGCAGTCAGTCCTTGATGTTTACCCAGCGGTTCTGGTACGCAAACATACGACCAATGTTGCGTGAGTCCTTCCAGGCACCTTGGGCATCAGGGATATGGATACCACATTTGATTTTTTGTGGTATCTCTAACTGTTTCTTAATAGTCAGCGAGGTGTTGGATTTGAGGTCAAGGGTATTAATATTCCACTTCAACTAATCCAGAGCCTTTTGGTCATCCACAGCTTCAGAACACCCTCCTTGTAAACAGGTATGCCTCTAAAAACCGGGCTCGACGTATCAGGGTCCTGGTTACTTTAGGCCTCGCTGATAATCTTCCTCTGTATAGCCACGAGGATGTCATCAGCTACCTCATTTGTTATGTGACCTGAACGCGCACACGTTAAGGCCATACTCAATTCTGCTTCAGCAGCCGAAGCCTAGCTTGTTCTTGCAGCCTTTGGTTGCTGTTCGAAACGCACTTCTTTGCGCTATTTTCTCGGCGAGGTGGACTCCTCCAGCATCCTTTTGGCTGCTCTCTCCTTCTTTCCAAGACGCTTGGCTGCTCTCTGGTTCCTGGCGGATGTCTTAGAGCTGGTTCCGGCGGTTTCTACTATTCGGGCTATATTTTCATCCTTCCCAGTTTCAGCACGGCTACTGGTTCCAGCCCCACGCACCGCAGAGGCAGTAGCTTGCCCAGCTCCCTGAGTGTTGCTATTGGAAGCAGCGAGTGCGGCTCTTTCTCTGCGGACTTTTTCTCGTTGCTTCTTATTCTTCTTTTTAACCTTTGCACCACTGCCTGCTGGAATAGACCCACCTGATGGTCCATCAGGTCAAAAAGTCACCATTTTGGGTGATTTGTGCTTCCCCTTACGATTCACCACTTGCAAGGCAGCAGAAAAAAGGTCTTCAGTTCTTTGGGGCTCCGCAGGAGTTTCGCTACTCGCGGCTCCTTGCTCATTTTTGGCATCCAGCTCCTTGGATTTGGATCTGATTTTAGAAACATCCAGCGCGGAAATTGCCCCCTTGGTGGGGCCACCTACGCTGGGTGGTACAGTCTGTGGAACCGCCGATTTAACGGCGGTTCCTTCTGGTTTATCAGTGTCTAAGGTAAACACCTCTGATACGTCTCCCTCTCTACTAATGGGCCTTGTGTTATCCACAGTTTTTTAATGTGTCATAATTCGTCCCCCCGGTTTCCCACCCTCCATGGAGCCCTTACCTTTGGGAACGCCCTACTTTATTAAAAGAATTTCAGGCGTTACAATTACCGGAGTAATATAGGGACGCAAAGTTGGCTCACAGAGCGACATCGGAAGCTTGATCCAGATAGTAGATAGGGCTGAAAAGGTCATCCCCATTTCCCTGAGTAGATTTTCCCTTGCTCCTTTAGCATGGCCTTTACCTCCACCTAGCCATTTTCAGGGAGACTAGGCAGCCCCCATAACCCTCGCCTGTGATTCTCTGACGGGACGCTTGGCCATTTCCCTATCTGTGGCTAGCAGATAAGGTCACCGTTTAGCTTGAAATCCGGACCACAGAGGGCGTGTTGCCTCTGGACACTATATATCCCTGTGACGATCGGCTCAACCCTCCAGGACTCCTTCATCCCCGCCTACGGCGTTCAACTGCACAGGTCCTAGCGCAGGTGGGTGTATTAGTCCACCAGATACACCCACTCTCTCCGGCGGAACTGCTCCCTCCTCTTTTCCGGGCTTGGGACCGGCAGCACCTAAAAGCACAGACAGAGTTAGTTGCCTGTGCTTTTTGTTCAAACAAGTATTGCAAGACAACAAGTTTCGGGTCCCGCGCCCACGTCACAGTGACTGAATGAAGCCGGCCACAGTCGAGCGTATGCCTGCTGTACTAATGTATGTCATAGGAGTCACAAATAAGTTTGGCTACATCTTGAAACGAGCTTCCATTAAAACATACTATAAGCCGCCGAAGAAGATTAGTCAATTTTTACTATCCATCAAATGTAATATTCTTCTACAAGATGCAGGAGTGTACAAGCTAGATTGTGAATGTGGTCTCTCTTACACAGATCAAACAAAAATATCTATAAAAACCCGCATGAAAGTAAATGTAAAGTACAAAAACGGTATAAAAATACAATTTATTACGGGTGAGCGTTCCAAATACGGTTATAACAAGATATTCAAAACAAGGAATGAAGTGAGAAGTTTCAAAAATGCGCAGTAATGATATTAGCGATGGAATTGGAGTAAAAACATAATAAGTATTTTAAAATTTTTGTCGGTTTGTCTATTGGAAATCCCAAAACATGAAAATGGCAGTGCTTATTTGTTTATTTATTTATAAGGATCGCTATCAGAATTTAAAATATGACTAGATGTTTCACATGTTCTAGCGTAATGAGTGTTAATCCTGTTAAATAAAATGTGTTATACATTATAGAGCATTGTCTTGTATTTAAGGAGAAATATAATTTATATTTATC